AACCACCCAGTGATTCTCCACTTCACCAGAGAAAATGCCAAAACTCTTTCAAAATGGCCTTAAAGGTTGTGGCAGACACTATGATATGCTGCCCAGGTCCCCTTCAGAACAACGCATCACCTCACTGCTGGAAGTGCTCCTGGCAGATGGCCCTCAGCTGTCAGCGTCTTCAGGGACTGCCTCAGCTGAAGAGTCACCTCATGCAAGGTCACAGAGCCTTCCAGAGCAGCCAGTGACTGGATGACATGGTGTTATCAAGGCGCAGGTGTCTCAGCTCAACCTGAGACAACTCTGAAAGGCCACTCTAGGTCCATGTGGGGTCTGCTGACACTGTGGTTGGGTCTGCATTGCAGCTGGACCTCTACTTTTGTCCTACTTCCTTCCGCTCCTTTCCATGGGTCTTGATCCCAACAGCACTCCCTAGTAAATTATCTGCACACCAAATTCTCCTTCAGTCTGCTTCCAGAGAAGCCAGACTGCACAAAGGTCTGACACAGCCTCTCTGAGGCCACGTCTTTCTTACCAGTCTCCCAGGTTGCCCTGCTAGAAGCACACTGGCTTCGAGGTTTCTTCTAGAAGACTGGCATATTCCTGCCTTAAGGGCCTTGCACGGCTCTTCTGTCTGCCTGGAACACACTTCTCCAGACGTCTGCACTGCTACTTCCCTCATTAAGCGTTGCTTAAAGGTCACCTTCTAAACAAGCCTATCTTCATCGTCCAGTTAAGGCAGGAAACAAGAGAAAAAGATTTAAGGAGGAGCAGTTCCCATCATTTCCTAATGTATTTGGCTTACCTTTCTGGGTATTGATTTCATTTTGAAGAAATGAATTTACTCATTTAAAAAAGAGTGAAAATTACTGTTTTAAATACACAAAGGCAGTGCAATGGTAAAGAACACAGGTTCTGGACTCAAACATGACTGGGCCTGAGGGCCCCATCACTGCCACGCTGCAGCTGTGTGGCCGGGGGCAAGTGACTTACCCCTGTCAGCCTCGGTTTCTTTATCTGTGATGTAGGGATAGTGTTACTTGTACTTCTTAGAATGGTTGTGAGGATAAAATGACTATGTACGTAACAGGCTGTGAAAGCTACAAAGGACCATGTAAATACTGGGAATTATTGAGAGATGGCCTATGAAACACACATACCAAAAAACCCACTGAGAGTACACTCACATCCTGGCTCACAGGTCAGGGTCGTAGGAGAAATCTTTTTTAGCTCTGCTTAACCCTGAGTAGACAGCAAAGCAGAAAGGGCTGTGCTCAGGAGAGCAAATATCACACGAGGGCACAGGGAGAGCCTAGCAAACATTTCTGGGGACACTGAAGAGTAGTTACCAACCGATATATTCTTGTTACATGGTACAAAAATCACAACATTTTGCTCTCCTTGCACTGACTTTAATTACTTCAGACTCATTCTAATCTCTAAGGCCCATGTGAACAAAATCACATAGGATTTCAAATATCTAGATCTAAATATGTTCAAATTTAAAGTTTAAAGCTCAACAGAGCTTTAAACTTTAAAACCAGCCATTTGTCTGGTTATTTGAGATTAGAGCCTAAATCTTTTCATGTGTATTTTCAACCCAAAGGTTTTATATTTATTTCTGTTTCTATGATACAAAATAACTGTACTTGGCTTAAAAATAAAACAATAACTCCTCCAAAAGCTCAACTGTTTTTATGGTTGCTTCCATTCATTTTTCATTTGCTGGAGTAAAATGTCCTTGCCCGTAACCTCAAATCCACAAGCTTGATTGATTTCAGAGGCTGCACCGGAGGCCCACCCTGCCAAGCAGAGATGATAGACTGTCTATAAACTGGCACTAACAAAAACCACAATAATCTAACATTTACCGTGATATTACATATCTGCCCTTTCAGATTTATTTGCAGGTCTATAATCTATTTCTTTATTTCTAAGGAGAAAAGTACATAAGCTTATGTTAAAAACAATAAGAATGTTCCTTGTAGAGATATTATTATTGAAAACCACCATTCCACAGTTAGACATTAAAAATAACAATAATTGCACTGTTTATTAAAATGTCCATAATACTAAATGGTGCTAAGAGATAAGGAAAGCAGACATCCTAACCAATAACCGCACAGTATGGCTTTGCCATCCTCCAGACCCACAGGCTCTATCTGGGAAAATTCTTGTCTGGGTGTGGCGCATGCGTACGTGTGTGTGTGTGTGTGTGTGTGTGTGTGTGTGTGTTCCCCTTTGGGAAGGTCAGTGCTACCTCAGCTTATCAAGGGCCTTTAAGGTCATGCTGTACGAGCAATAACCTTCACTTTCCAAGTCCTCCTTTGAGGATATCATGCACTCCTCCGATTTTTCTTCATAGCTTTATACAACTTAATATTCAGGCTAGGGAAACTAGAAATCTCCTCCAAGTCAAACAACTCCTTAAATCTATCTACAAATTTATTTTCTCTCTCTAACCTGAATTTCATGGCCCAGAGGATGATGGTAGTTTCTTTGCACAGATGGTCAAAGGTAAGAAGGAGTTCTTCCAGGAAAGGATGAGCATAGACAACATCAGCTGCCAGGATATAGTCAAAATTGTTGGAAGACCGTGGGAAGTTCTTGTCTAAAGCTATGCCCCAGGAGAGTTCTTTAACCTGAGGCAAATGTTTACATTTCATTTTAGTGTTTCGGGAAATATTATATTGCAGGTTTCCAAGTAATTCAGGTAAATCTGTGGCAGTCACATGTGCACCTGTGAAGCAAAGGACAGTAGGAAAAGTAACCTTCACAGGGTAAACAACCAGGTTTCAAGACAACATGCATTTTGCAACTCTGTACAACTGCTAGTCTTAAGGCAAAAATAATTGGTCAATGCACATAGGAGGGAAATCCCTTTTATAGTGGATGCTAGGCCAGCCTTATGCCTCCCCTTAAAAAAAAAATTCAGATTCCCATGGTACTTTTGCACTCCACTGCATTTTGCTGTTCTCCTGTTATTTTTCTTTGTTTTGTTTGTTGTGTTGTTGTTGCTGTTGTTGTTTTCTATTTACTCACTACATGCTAGAAGAAAAATAATAAAGTGAAAGGGAAATTCAAAATATTTTAACCCTCACTAGAACAATCAGAAGCCATTGCTGAAGGATGAACAGGTTCTCCCCTAAAAGAATTCTGATCCCCCAACCTATGAGTCTGAACAAGTGTCTATCCGATCAATGGGCATCCTATCATTGAATAGGAAGTACTCAAGTGTGAGAAGAGGAGGAAGAGAAGGAGGCTTTTCAAAGGCATTACATTGAAAGTATCATGACACCCACACCAATGCCCAAGCTTTCAGTTTGACCCCACTATAAGTGTGAGTCTTCCCATGAAAAGATGTTTAAAACCTAGCCGCAGCAGGCTTATCATGTTCACAGAGTCAAAGATCACAGAGGCATAACAGAACACTCAGATGAAGAAGATATAAACTATTTTCGAGTTAAAAGTGAATAGTGATGGTCATTTTCAGGAAGAAGCTGGAAGCAGCAAAACTGTAGAAATGAATAATCAATAAAATTTGGCTGTGAAAGTGAACTTTGAGCAGCATCAGAGCCTGAAAACAATGTGTAAGTAAATCCAGGATTGGCCAATTCCACACCATCAGACAAGAACAGACTTGGGTAAGAAATGGGAAAGCAAAACTGGAAGAGAAGTCTAGCTCAGCCCAGGCCAGTGTAGAGCCCATTCCTTAGCCATGGTGATAAGTTTCTCTGGCCATTGATTGTATTTTGTGGGAAATATTAAAATAGGAGGGAAATATGCATATCATTGGTAGAATTGCAGAAATATGAATCTTCACATTCTAATGCAGGTGAGTCTATCATTTTCAACAAATCTTAAAATCCCAAGATAAGGAATATACCCCTATTTATAGGTAATATGAACTCACTGACCACTAATATCTTCATATCTAAAGAGGTAGACACCTGCACTTTTAGAATACTGACTAAAGAAAGCTTCAATCTTTTGGTATTTGTGTCAAGTTATACATGCAGACCAAAAGGATAAAGTCTTTTCAATCTCTTTCTCTCTCTTATCCTTCTGATATCCCTGATGCCAATGTTGGTATGCTTGATGTTTTTCCAGAGGTCCCTTAACTGTTTCTGGTTTTTTAGATTCTTTTTTTCTTTTTANAATTTAGGATTTTCTTGCAGGGCTCAGAGTAGAAAATGGACATGAGGCAGTACCCTGAAAAGAGCACAGCTTTTGTACCACAGGGACTGAAGTTCCCACCCCAGCCTACGCACATATCACCCTGGGAAAATTGCTTACCCCCACTGAGCATCAGCTTCTCCATATGTAAACTGGGCTAATACTGCTAGGATTGCTGACAGGATTCAGAGATGCGATATAGGAAATATCTAAACCAGAGCTGAAAGCGGTGAGTACTCCATAATGGAGTTATTATTTCAGCAAGGGCTAAGAAAAGTTACCATTTGTTCCAGCGAGTAGTTCAAACAGCTCACTCTTGGCTATCTCTAAAGTTTCCTACATGCCATGCTCTGCCCCAAACTACGTCCCCTTCTTCCTCTCTTTATTGCCTTCGCCCAGCTACAGGTGACTTCTCCAGGAAGCCCGCACTGACTCCCTGGTTGTGGATTAGGCTCCCTCCTGTCAGGACACCTAACACTGCTTTGTAAAAGTATCTATTTCCTCTCCCATGCTTTGACTTCCCTGCATGTGCCCATTTGCACTAAGATTTAAGTCTCCAGGAGAACTGTATGTCTGTAGCCCTTGCTTGGCATATAGTGGGTTTTCAATAAATACTGAATGAATGAATGAATGAATGTCAACCACTAGGTGGCTTCCTAGAGAAGAAAAATAAAATCCAAGGAAAGTAAAAGGTAGTTGCATTAGTTCTTTTGCATTNACTTCAACTTCTGGGACCTGAGTAATGGAGTGGATGAATGGGAGTGACATTTACTGAGCTGGAGAGGCTGGAGGAGGAGCCCATGGGGAGTGGGGTAGGAGCAGCTTTTGGGGGTTGGAAATCAAGAGTCCAGCCTGAAGGTATGCTCAGTTCAGGATGCTTCTGACCACATCCAATGAAAATGTCAAGTTGGCAGCTGTCCAGGAGGCCTGAACACAATGGCAGTGGGACCATGAGCAACCACATGATGAGCCCCTGGCCCAGCATCTGGTCCTCCCCCCCCAACCCTAGCAGCAATTCAGAAGTGTGGGGACCGCCACCATGTGCGACCACATCAGCCCGGCAATCGACCATTCCTCCTCTCAAGATTTTGGAATGGCAGGTGTGTACTTCTTGAAGATCAAGGAAATCTAGACAGATTTGGGGTGGTGCACATCAGAAAATTCAGCTAAATTAAGGCAATTAAATAGATAGAACTAGAAATAGAAATAGAACTACAACAAAAAAGAGAATGAACTGCAGTGGGCTCAGGCATACATAGAGACCATCACACATTTAGTTGAAAAAGAAGATTCAGGAGAGAAAATAAGAGATTGCAAAAGAAGAATGAAAATAAATTGAGAAAATAAATTCAAGGGCAAACATAAAGTGAAGAGCAGACATGACTTTTATGTGGTTTCTAATATACCTTCTCTATTCTAAAGGGGGCTTTTTCATAAAAGCATAGGACTTCAAAACCCAAAAGGAATATGTGGTTACATGGAAACATTGAAATAGGGCTAAAATTTAAATAAAGAACATCAGAGTCAGCAGCAGTAGATTGTGTCTATACTTAGTATCTCCTCTAGCAGCCAGGAGCTTAAGTGCACCTCCCAATTAGAATACATGTGTGACTTAGCACTCTGTGAGGAGACTTAATACAACTTCATGGGAAATTCTGAAAGAAGCCAGTAAGGTAACTCTAAAATTGGTAGAGTTTCTTGATGAAGCTCATTCAAACAATTAAGGAGTTAAAAATAGGCCCAGGTCATAGTACACCATATAATAAAAGCAACTCATGATATTTGATCATTAAATTCTCCAAACCCCATTCAATCAAAAATACCTACTTACCAAGTAAACTTGCCACAATGGAGACTAACCCTGTTCCAGCTCCAATTTCAATCACATTTTTGTCAACCATATTATACTGCTTTGCATTTGTTTCCAGAAAATAGCATAGAACAAGGGCCTATGAAAGTTAAAAAGGAAAAAAAATTAGTGCTCGACAAGTAATAACAGAGAGCACAATTAAACTCTATTAGACAAATAGCTCATGATATGTATGTGTGCCTGTGTGTGTATTTGTGTGTGCACATACATGTTACTACAGACAATTATCAACAGAAGGACATCGTCCAGTGGTTCAACACAGGCTAGGAAGTCTTCAGGAATTGTTGAGGAGAAAAGAGAGAACTAAAAATATGGAGTTCAGTTGCTTAGATTTGATTATTTCTAAAGAAAGAAATTTCTAATAATAGTAGTCATTTCAAAGAAGCATGGGGGGTTAGAACAGACAGTGCTAGGGGTCTGCACTCTTCATGGGACGACTGGTAAAAGGAATGGGGCCTTTTAAAACAGCCTGCATTGACACTGGTATAGATGTCATTATAACTGTTTAACTCAAGTGGAGCCAGTTAAATGGGAAATAAGTTTACTATTCTAAACTCTTATGGTCACAAAAAACTCAAGGTGTAAATAACAATTTTTATTAACCCTATAAATCAAAAGTAGAACTAATT